TTGTTTTACAGCTCTGAGGTAGAAAAGGAGGAATACCTGGAATAATGTCAGTAAATGGGCCTTTCTGAAATCTGAGTTACGCTGTCAAACACTTCTTCACTTTTACGAAGGAGAACGTGCTAGAAGGAAATCTTCAAGATGATCGGGCATTTGCTGTGGGCGGGAGTCAGAAGACCTGGATTCTCTTTGCTCCGTCCCCTTAGTTTAAAATCACTGAGCAAATCACTTAATCTCACTCAGCTTCATTTTGTCTACAAATCTATCTGTAAAATGGGGGGGGGCTGAATTAGATCCTTAAGGGTGTTTTTTTTTTTTTTTAAGCTCAAATTTTCTATAATTTTGAGAGTTTCAAATTAGCTTTTAATACTTAACGTAAACTCTTAATATGCACCTCAATTAACTGAGCTGCTTTTGTTCCAAGATAACTGAGGGAAACAGAACAGACATAAGGTATATAATATGCGTGGCCTGGGGCTCTACTCACAGAGAAACGACTAGTTATTAGATCCTGTTTATGTATATCAGGTGAACTTTTGATTCATTTTACATTTATAAACTGGTAACCAGCTATTTTTCCCTCCTTTTTTTAGGACTCAAATGGATAGTGAAATCGAAAGAGGAAAGCAGCATGTATTGTATATATTGTATGATTAAACATTTTTAAAGACAGATTGTTTTTAGTAAAATGTAGCTTTTGATAGTTAATGAATTTGTCATGGTTGTCTTTGATTAAAGGAAATTCACTGCCACCTTCACAAATAATTGTAGTTGCTTTTTATTTTCCCATCATGCCAGAGTTTGTCCTTTCTCCAGTCCGTCCCATTAAAACCTTTTTAGTTAGGTTGTTACGGCCTACACATCATTATGGTTCTTTAGCTGTAAAGTTAGCTGCTCAGGTCCACAAATCTTGGGTTGAACTGTACGAAATTATTGTTCTTGTAGGTAAAACGCAGTCACATATCAGCCATTTTATAGGTTGCAGCCTGTGATTTACTCACAGGAAACTCTTCAGCCCTCTCCTCTGCCAGGCCAGGCTGGATACGTGTCCCCAGCAGCAGTCCTCTCTGCACACACCCCAAAGAGGAAAACCATCCGGCGGGGTGGATGGTGCTACTCCCAGGCTGCCCGTCTTTGCTGGCCCTTCAGGCCTGGCCTTGATGTTTTTTCGTCCCTCTCTGGTTCCCTTTCCCACTCCCCAGCTTTCTACATCCGCCTTCCCTGGGTCCCAGCCCTTCCTGGTGCTCAGGTGTGTCCGCCACCCTCCATACCTAGCGCTTTCCCTTCAACCACGGTTCTCTCTCATCGTAAAACAACTGCTGTGACCCTTAGTTACTGTCCTGTCTCTTCTTTGAACAAGGATCACAGGCGCCATCCCCTTCTGGCCATCCTGCAACCTGGACGGAGGAGCACCTCCATTCCCAGCATTTCCCGGGGGGCTGTTTTAGGCCAAATTGGTAATTCCTTCTCAAATAGTTCGATCCCAGGGTTACATGCTGTGCATTTGACGCATAAAAATCCACTCCTGGAGGGGAGCCCGGGTGGCTCAGTTGGTTAAGCGCCGGACTCTTGATTTCGGTTTAGGTCACGATCTCAGGGTCTTGGGTCAGGGCCTCTGTCGGGCTCCATGCTCAGTGTAGTCTGCCTGTCCCTCTGTGCCCCTGCTCACTCGCTCGCTCGTTCTCAAATAAAATCTTAAACAAAACTCTACTCCTGGAAAGCTGTACATCCTCCTATCTGGTGCTTTCTGTGACCTCCTTACCCTGTCTTACCCTCATGAGTTTTCCTACTGTATCCTGAACATTCTCCAAACTTTATTTGATTCCACTCTGAAAAGCTACAGGCATACGTGACCAATGGCTTATTGGCAGCATAGGGGCTGTTTTAAACATATGCATAAGTTAGCTCCCAAATCTGTCCTCCCTCAATCCCTATAGGGGTACTTCTACTTTATTTCCTCCAGAGAAACCTAGGATTTTTTTTTTTTTAAGATTTTATTCATTTATTTGACAGAGCACAAGCAGGGGGGAGCTGCAGGCAGAGGGAGAAGCAGACTCCCCGCTGAGCAGGGAGCCCGATGCAGGACTCGATCCCAGGACTCTGGGACCATGACCTGAGCCAAAGGCGGATGCTTAACTGACTGAGCCACCCAGGCGCCCCAAAAGCTAGGATTTCTTTTCCCCCACAGCCCCTACCTTAATTGGTCACAACCTCCCATCTGGTGTCTTGATTCTCTCCATCCTGCCCAGATTTGTGCCACAGACTCCTGTCTGGTGTCCCCCGCTTCCTGCCTGCCCTTCGCATCCCCTCCACATCTTCAAAACCACTTGTCAGTTCTCAGTGACTCCCCACTGCCTTCGAGACTTGAGAGACCTCAGCTTGCAGCGCTGTGGAGGCCTTACGTGACTGCAGGCTCCTTGCCTCCACTCAGGCTCACTTCCCCCTCTAAACTCTGGCTTTCTCTTCCATCTTCGTTGAACTTCACATTCCATGTCATTCACCCATTTAAAGCAAACAATTCGTTGTTTCTCAGTCTGTTCATAGGGCTCTGTAACCACCACATCCTGATGCAGAACATTCCTGTCCCCAACCAGTGGCAGTCACCCTTCCTCACCCGTCTCCTTACTAACCCTTAGCCCCAACCAACCGATAACCTACTTTCTGTCAAAAGTTGCCTATTCTGGACATTTCACATTAATGGAATCACACAGGTGGTCTTAATATTACAATTTTCAAGCAAATCTCTTTAGAGTTGCCTTGCTCTTTCCCTTTTGTTGGCCTGTCTTCTACTTGCGTCAAACTCTGCTCATACAAGAAATGTAAGGGGCCTGGGTGGCTCAGTCAGTTGAGCGTCCGACTCTTGGTTTCAGCTCAGGTCATGATATCAGGGACATGAAATCAAGCCCCAAATTGGGCTCCACGCTCCGTGTGGAGTCTGCTTGAGATTCTCTATCCTTCTCTCTCTGCCCTTCCTGCTTGTGCTCTCTCTCTCTCTCAAATAAATTAATTTAAAAAAAGAAAGAGGGATGACCTTTGGGAAACCAAAGTGGCCTAGCTGTCACTTGGCATTTTGTACCTTTCTATAATTGAATTTTCTTTTTTTTTTTTTTAAGATTTTATTTATTTATTTGAGACAGAGACAATGAGAGAGAGCACGAGAGGGAGGAGGGTCAGAGGGAGAAGCAGACTCCCTGCCGAGCAGGGAGCCCGATGCGGGACTCGATCCCGGGACTCCAGGATCATGACCTGAGCCGAAGGCAGTCGCTTAACCAACTGAGCCACCCAGGCGCCCTATAATTGAATTTTCTAACCATGCACTTTTTCATTATTTTTAAAAAGTATTGGGGCACGTGGGTGGCTAGTGCGTTAAGCACCTACCTTCAGCTTAGGTCATGATCCTAGGGTCCTGGGATTAAGCCCCGAGTCATGCTCCCTGCTCAGCAGAGAGTCGGCTTTTCCCTCTGCCCCTCCCCTTGCTAGCGTGCTCACTCTCTCTCTTTCTCCTTCTCTCAAGTAAATAAATCTCAAAAAAGTATCAACAGAAGTTATCTGGGCAGGGAGATTATGGGCCCCTTTCTCTTCTTTAAACTTCTGAATAGGAGGGGCCCCTGGCTGGCTCAGTAGGGAGAGCATGCAACTCTTGATCTTGGGGTGGTGAGTTCAAGTTCCATGTTGGGCATTGAGCCTACTTTAAAAAAAAAAAAATTGTAAACTTTTGAATAGGAAAAAAACAACTAATACATGTTATCATTTAAATATCAAACACATGTAACATCCCCAAAGTCTTTCTTTTCTCCAGAACTTTGTGTTCTAATAGCACCTCGTTCTTACCTCAGTTACCCTGTCTGTGCTTGTCACGTTGTTCGCACGCGTTTTCCAGTGGAGTTCCCCCAGGGCCTGGGTGTGCCTTATTTCTGTGCTGACGGTAGCTGGTTTGGGTCCAGGCCTTGCTGTCCTAACTGCCCTGCCCAAGCACTTCTCACCCAGGGTGAGTATTCTCAGACTGGCATTACCCATAAGCTGCCCTACTCTGTAGTCTGTATTCTCCATCCGGTGTTCCATAGCACAGACCCGGGCATGGGCCACTTTGACTTCTGTTCTCTCCAGGTAGATTGTAAGCTCCTTGAGGGGCTAAATCCTAGAGTCTTGGGTCTCTCTCTGGCTAGGGCTTGGGTTTCTGACATGCTATAAAATTACAGGTGCATTGGAGAATACACGATAATATGTTGTCTGCATAATTGCAACAGGCTTTTAAACCCTTGGTCTATATTTACTTCTGCAGAGAGGGACCAGGGTCTCTTTAGTCAAAATCAACCCAGGAGCTGTGGAATTGTCAGTTTCTTTGTATAAAAATACTTGTTTAGTTTTTATGAGCAGTGTTAGCATAAAAGACAATAGAAAGGATAAAGGATAGATGTGTGTGATGGACTTTCAGAGCCTTGGAATAGTAGATTAAAAGATGGCTGCAAATTTCTTTGAGAGGAAGAGTCTGTTTCCTCCCCACCTTGAGTCTAGGCTGATCTTGGTGACTTGTCTGAGCAACAGAATATGGCAGAAGTGATGTTCTGGGACTGCGGAGGCGAGGTCAAAAGAACTTTTGTGGAGTCTGACATGTCACCAGAGCCGGAATCACGGTGTAATAAGGCCAGAAACCACATGGAGAGAGGAGACGGGGACTGGGACTGACTAAGCCCAGCCTTCTAGTCAACCCCAAGGGCATGCGGTCTGCTCCCTCTAGTCCAGCTGTCACCTGAATATCCCCAAGCAGCTCTGGCGGTGTGGGATGGGGGAGAAAAATCGCCCAGCCAAGTTGTGCCTGAATTCCTAATACAGAATTGTGAGACATAATAAAACAGTGGTGGATTTAAGTCACTAAGTTTTGGGATAGTTATGCAGATAGCTGAAATAAACACTCGGTTTAACTTTTTTCCCCCCAAGTTTGATGCAAACAAACTTAGAAGCATAATGCGGGGTGTGGGATTTTACTGCCCTGACCGTTGTCAAAGTATGCCAGCCTAAAAAATAAAATAATCCAGAAAATAAACTTTATTTTTCTCTAGTTGACTTCTCAAAAATGGTGGCATACTCAAGAGCTCTCATCGGAGGGGCTTTTTTACATTATCCCCTTTTCTGGACTTTTCCATGAGGATGGTCACTTTGATGAGTGCTTCCTGGTAAGGCTGGGCAGTCGGGTAGGCTGCGATCCGTTCAAATTCTTTCTCTTCCTCCTTGTGAGTTGCAGGCCTGTGGAGAGGAGGAGCGGGGGCAAAGATCTTCCAAGCACGCAGTCTCTCGCTTCTCTGCTCCGTGAGCTCTCTCCCCTGAATCATTCGATCCTGATGCCCCTTGATCTGTTCCTTTGCCCAGGTCACCCTGTGCTTTGTGGTCTTAGTTTTGTGGGTTTTCTGGATAGTTTCAGTCTTTTCCTCCTTCCCTAGGGTTAGTATGTTGGGGAAGACTGTTTCACTTGGAATCTTTTGAGGGAGGAGCCAATACTTGTGGTCTCTGAGGCCTCTGGCTCATTCCACTCGGTATATGTGCTCCTCTATGTGGCCCAGCTCCCTCTCGGGTGCTAAAAGTCCCATCTTTTAGCATCTCCTGTTTTTTCACGTTGGGGTCTCTCTCTCTCTATTTTAATTTCCCACCTTGGAACCATGATGTATCTCCATGCTTCTCCCAGCATCATTTCTTGATGTCGTCAATAGTAGTATGTCTCTGCTTTGGCAAACTGGAAGTCAAAAGGCATGGCTTTGAGCTGATGAAGTGTTTCATTCTCCTGCTGAGACTTTTGGAGCAAAAATGTCCTCACTTGTGAAGAATGGACACCACCTAAACTCTTGTCAGAGGGAAGTGTTAAAAGGTTTTTAAGTTGGATGTCCTTTCTTACAGGCCATGATACAGATCACAAGGGGCTAGTAGCTCTGCCTGGCACTCTGGCACCAGGTCCCTGGTGGGGGGATCTCTTAGCCATGATCCCTGGCTTTCTCTTCAAACCTCCCACACTCCCCTCCCCAGGGTGCCCTTCCGGTTGAAGAGTTCGCCTTAGACTTCCTTGAGAAAACAGAAGCATTCGGTCAGGAATGCCCTCCTCTTCCCATTGCCAGAACCACCACCATGCATGGATCCTGGACCCTGCCCTTAGAATGGAAACATTGCCCCTTTGTCTATCAAAAGCCAGTTTTCCCATCTGTCCTTGTGAAGCTTCAGGAACTTAATTTGCAAATTTTTACCAAATTCTCTTTCCTGCTTCATCAAAATTTCCCCTGTTCTGGATCACTCCCATCAGCATAAAAATATGTTCCAGTATATGTATCATCTTTAAGCAGAAAAGGAAATGTTTCCTTTGCCGCACATCCCATTTGGCTCCCTTTCACCGTGTGCGATGAGGCAGACACCTAGAACCCCTCTCCACTTCCCCACCTCCCAGTTCCCCCTCGGTCCTCCTCAGGTGGGTTTCCAGGCCCCCACTGCACCCAGACTGTTCTCGTCTAGGTCGTGAAGGATCTCCACAGCAACAAATTCAGTGGTCCTGTCTCTGTCCCTGTCATACTTGACCTCAGCAGCATTTTACAGAGTTGAGTACTTTACTTTCCTCTGGCTTCCAGGCTGTGGCCAAGGGCATGTGACCAAGGTGATCTTGGGCCCCCCCTGCCCCCCGAGACTGTTCCAGCCATTAGCCAAATATCCCCAGGTGACTGAATAGCCCTTCATTCTCTTCCTACCTCATGGCCACACCCTTCCACCTACTTTGCTGCTTCTGTCTTTTAAATGTAATGCAAGAAAATACAACAGAAATTGTCACTTAAGATGAGCATATTCTCATCTTAGAACATAGACTCTCTTGGGCATGGACAGTCTCATTCACTCAGCAAGGTGACCTACCACGTGTCTCAGACTGCTCGAGAGGGGGCAGTAAGGGATGAGCAAGACCATCGAGGCACACGAGACTGACCTGTACTCACCTCTCAACTTCACCCCTAGATATGATCTACTTAACATCTCCACTTGGCTCTTCTTCCATAGTGCTTCCTTCTCTTTCCCCCTTCTCAGTCTGTCCCTACTAACTTCAAAATGCCCCCACCCTAGGGTAGCAGCCTCTCTAGCTTCCCTGAATCCGTGCTTCCCTCTCTCTGCCCCCAGCCCCATCAGACCGTGCACACAGCAACCGGAGGGATCTTTGTATCACACAAATCTGAGCACGTCCCTTCCCTGCATTGAAACCTGGGAGAGTATCCTGTTGCTTTGAGGAGAAAATCTCAAATCCCAGTATGGCTTTCATAATTTGGCCCCTGACTGCCTCTCAGCTCACCTGCTTGTCCACTCTGCTGCAGCCACACTGACTTTCCTGTTCCTCAAAAACCATTTTCTCTTTGCCATCTGAGTATTTTCGCATGTCCCTCCTTCATATATTCGCAAACACACAATACAGTGACTGACTACAGTACTATGCATGTAATCTTTAGGTTTTAGCTTAAAGGTTACTTCCTCAGACCTTCCATGTATTCGTTCAAATAAAACCCCATCTCTCATGACCCTTATCACAATTTGTGGTAACTGTCTGTTTAACGTCCGTGTCCCTCACCTGCCCCAGCCCTGTGGGGGCACAAGCGATGTTTGCTTTGTTCAGTGCTGTCTAGCTGGAACCAAGCCCAACAGACAAAGCACTTTGGCTTGAAATACTCAGGCCCTTTCTGCCTTGGGGAGAAACTTTTTATGATGGTATTACTGACTCCAAAGTTCACTGCAAACATATTTCCTCACCTTAATCTTCTTTTCTGGTGGGGCCTGGGAACCCACTGCAATCTGAGGGTCCTGAGTGTTTCTGGCCCAGGCCAATCTGGAAGATTAAAAAGAGAAATCGCACTAGGATTTGGAGAAAGGTTTCAGGAAACCTGGCCCTGGTGTGAATTGAGGTAGGGAGTTGATTTGGGACTCGCTTTTCACATGTTTGTCACACGCTTTTCAATAGCAAGAGGCATTTCTCTGTGCCAATAGGCAGGACTATGGCTTTCCTTGAAGCAAGGAAGGAATTCTCTCTGATAAAAATATGAACAAAGAGCCATACTGAGTTTGAGGCTGAGGCTAACAAATACCTTTATTTTAACCCTGGAGAGGGGAGGCTGAGTTGCTATTTCAAATTCCACAAACCACGGTTTGTGGAATTGTTCGTAGAACAAAGAACCTTGCCTTAGATGAGAAAATAAGTTCTCAAAGCTAGTCAGTCCCTTTTAAGTTCAGTTAGACATAAAATTATAAATAGTATAATTTATAAGCTATCATTAATTTCCAACAACAGCTAACTGTAACACTTCATGATTCTTGTCAAATGTTTATATTTTAGATAGCCAATAAAACAATTTGATGGGAAGAAAAAAATTTTTTTTAATTTAATGCAGAAAAATACAGTCGAGAAATTTGTAGTCACATTTAGTTATCCTGGAGAACTCTTATTTCTTAACCTGCTTAGTTAGCAAATAGATTCTGTGTTTAGCAACCTGGGTTGTAAATATTCTGTTTCTCTGACTTCTCTCTCTTTTTTTATTAAGATTTTATTTACTTATTTGAGAGTGAGAGAGAGCACGAGAGCAGGGTGAGGGGCAGAGGGAGAAGCAGACTCCCTGCTGAGCAGGGGAGCCCGATGCGCAGCTCGATCCCAGGACCCTGAGATCATGACCTGAGCCCAAGGCAGATGCTTTACTGACTGAAGCACCCAGGCTCCCCTCTCTGACTTCTCTTTGCAGCAAAAGAGGATTTTATAGTATAGACAGATAAAAAACAAAACTATAGTTACCGTGTAAGTAAAGCTAATTTCTTAAACAGACTCCTACTTCCGCTTTCATGTTTTTCTTTTCCATGAGGTTCTTATATTATCTCCATAACAGCATTTACTGAGCTTACTATACACTGGGTGATGTGCGGGGGCCTTAAATGGGTCCTTTTACTTCGTCTCCCAAACAGTCCGGGAGGGAGGCATTCATCAGGTCTCACTGCAAAGACACCTGAGGCCAGAGAGGTTCCGTGACTCGTCAGTTTCAGGGGCAGGATGTGCGCCTGCGCGACTCCAGAGCTCATCATTTTCTTTCCTGTGCTACACTCCTTCCCAGATAATCGAACGTTCTCCTGCCTTTAACTCAAAATGGAAGGAAATAATACCTACTGTTCTTCCGCACTCAGATCCAACCATACTGAGTCTGTCACCAGGGGACGGCGTGAAGGTGGGGTCCGCGCTGCCAGTCAGTCCTTCCCTGGGCTCCCCCGGCACCCTCCCCGCCCGGCACCCGTGGCCAACCCGCGAATAGCCTTGTGCTGCGGATCTTCCGTGTCCTTTTTTTCCGCCAGTGTCCTATCCATCGCCAGCTTTGCGAACAACATACTTGCTTCTTCGCCCTCTTCCTCGCAGCGTCTGCTTTCCCAGGGCTGGGCTCCAGTCTCTCATTCCCTGTTCTGCAAAGGTACTGTTCTCCAGCCAGCACCTTCCCGGCCCTCTTTCAGACTTCCAACTCTCCACTGTTGATCCTTCAGGATGCCTTGGGTTGATTTCTAGGGCAACCAGAGGCAGTCACAAGCTTTTGTATGTGTCATCACCATCCTAGATTGAGACTACGGTGAGGTGGTAGGTGAAGACATCGTCTGGCTGGCAGGGAATGCATCCAGTGTGAGCTGGGCTGAATGACCGCGGACAGAAAGTGCAAGGCGCTGTGTTTCACAGATAGGACAGCCCTTCTTGGTGTAACCGGAGAAAGCATCTTCCAAGGCAATGGGAGCATCTTTGTCATTTTTGTTTGGCTGGGCTTTTTGGGGGGTGGGAGATATGTATCTTCCATAGAAATGTAACCTATGGAGAGCTGGGGGGAGGGCGGGATCCTGCATGCACAGTCCCAGGAGCTGGCAGAGGGTGGACAAGTGTGTGGGTGGCCTGGTCACGTGGTCTCACCATCCCTCAGCTGGTGTGTCACTTAGCTAAATGTTGCCGCTGCTATAGAGCTTTTGAGCTCTACTCCTCTTTAATCTACTTTTAGCTACATATTGAATTATGTTCATACCTGGTCATTACTTAAGGACAAGCAGACAATACACCAATGTCAAATAAAATTAATGAAATGATTCTGCATATTCAAGACTTGTCACCATATAGTTAAGCTGCAGATGTCCAAATAAAGTCCTCATTGTTTCTCCTTCTTGAAATGTCTCTACTTCTTAAAATGTTAAAGGAGAAAATATAGTGATTAATTACAACCTGGCTTCTTACTTACTAAGAATCAAATCTATCCCTCCGCAATATGCTGTATGCAGAGATGTCTTGACACCACAGCCCTGACCTCATTCAGAAAAGAAGAAATGAAACAGTTATGAAAGTAAATATGGGTATTTTATCAAAAATCAAAGAATTTCAAACAGCAAGTCATGACAGTGATTTCTGTTGATTTTCATACCAAAACCTTGAATTACATTACAACCTACATTTTAATATTCACAAGATACCATTTTAGCACTGATAAAATATCATGTCACTCAGATATCAAACTCACGTGCTGTTCAGCCAAAATTTGTATATGCCTGTGATGTGACAGTATCATACTACCCCAAGTTCCTAGTATTCATTGACTCTGAGCCAGGCACTGTGTAAAGTGCTAAAAGGAAGGGGCACCTGGGTGGCTCAGTTGGTTAAGTGTCTGCCTTCAGCTCAGGTCATGATCCTGGGGTCCTGTGATTAAGCCCTGCACTGGGCTCCCTGCTCAGTGTGAAGCCTGCTTCTCCCTCTCCTTCTGCTGTCCTCCCTGCTTGTGCTCTCTCTCTCTCTCAAATAAATAAATAAAATCTTAAAAAAAAATAAAGTGTTAAAGGGTAATATCTCATTTACCCTCCTGAAAACTGAATATAGCTTTTCTTTTCTTTTTTTTTTTTTTTAGAGAGAGAGAGAGTGAGCATGAGCGGTGGGGGGCGACGGTGCAGAGGGAGAGGGAGAGAGAAACTTAAGCAGGCTGTCTACACCCAGCATGGAGCCCAGTACAGGGCTCAATCTCAGGACCCCGAGATCATGACCTGAGTCAAAATCAAGAGTCAGGCAGATGCTTAACGAACTGAGCCACCCAGGCACTCCTAGCCTCCTTTTTGATAAAGAAAAATGTGCAATTACTAATATGAGCCTCTTTTTAAGTAAGAAATCAGCTTAATTAAAATAAAACAAAAAAGACAATCATGTGGACCTAAAAGTACTTTTTATTTAAGTACTATGCTTTGAATTGTTTCTTTTTCCTGATAAGAGAAACAAGGGATGAAGACTATAAGCCAGGGAGATAAATGTTTTTGACAGCAAATCAGGTTGAAACACCTATCAGCTAGACTTCGCCCTAACATAAACAAAAGGTGGCCTGAGCTGTGTCTTTCTATGAGAAACATAAAAAGAACTCTTTGCTAACAAGTATTTTACCATATACCTAAATTTTAATCTTTTGTCAAAAGTCATGAAATGTGTTTGAGTAGTTATGAGAAATCCGCCCTGGGGAAGGAGAGGTTAGTGGTTCCTGAGCCGAAATTATCGTTAAACACTTCTCATGACACGGAACTTGAAACAAACCAGAGTGTCGTCACAGACTAACTGTTGGCATTGGAAACTGCACACTGCCTGCTGACCCCATTTTGCCGGAGTTTGAAAACAGACTTAAATAAAAAATAGAAGTTTCCCTGATAGTATCTAAACATAAAACACTGACACTCCAACTACCCTCTTTAGTAATGTTATTATTCTTCTGCCAATTTTCCATAGGAGGAAACGTGGCTAAGAGAGTTATGTGATGTGTTCAAGGCCACACAGTTGCCCAGTGGGAGACTGAAACTTGAACACGGATGTCTAAAAGCCAAGCTGGTGATCTTCCACATGCTATCCCACACATCCTTGGAAAATGGGAGGGGTGGAAATACAGCCCTCACCTTTGTGGAGCTCACAACCCAATGAGGAAGGCAAGAAATAGACACAAGTGCACATGTATGACGTAGCCATACAAAAGGGACGTGTAAGTACGGGTTGAAAACAAAGGGCAGGAGTCATCAGTATGAGGTGGGACTGAACACGGAGGACCTGCTGGGGAGCACATTCTGAGTAGAGTGGCAGGAACATGGGAGACACTCCTGAGACCAAAGAAGCAAGAAGTGACTTGTCAGTGGTTGCTAGAGGAAGTTGAACAGGCAGGGTACCACATGTGGGGAGCAACACCAGAACCAGAATATGATGTAGAGGAATTATGGTGACTTCCCCAAACAAACGGAGGACTTTGTTAATAGGAAAATTATTAAGGGGATGTCAGAGGGGGAGATGAACCATGAGAGACTATGGACTCTGAGAAACAAACTGAGGGTTCTAGAGGGGAAGGGTTGGGGGGATGGGTATTAAGGAGGGCACGTACTGCATGGAGCACTGGGTGTTATACACAAACAATGAATCATGGATCACTACATCAAAAACTAATGATGTAATGTTTGGTGACTAACATAACATTATAAAATAAAATTAATAAAAAAATAGGAAAATTATTAAAAAGAAGTGGCATGAGAGAAAAGATTCTGAAACCATAAGGCCTGGAAGCAGAGGCAGGTAGGGAATTGGGTTCGTCCATTGGCTGTGAGAACCTGGTTCTAGACCAGCGTTGTTCAATGAAAATAGAACGTAAGTCACAGATGTAATTTAATGTTTTCTAGGAGCTACGTTAAAAAAAGTAAACAGAAAGAGGCAAGATTAATTTTAGTAATGTATTTTAACCCATGATATCCAAAATATCATCTCAACCTGCAATCAACTTAAAATTTTTTATACTGCTGTTCTGTTTTCATTAATAAATT